TAACTCTCTAAAAGTACAGCCAGATAGAATTTCCCATATTGAGGAACTTGGCTTTTTCAATAAGCCTTCAGAATCTGAAGTTTATGGAATCTAAAATCCAGAAATATCCAGAAATCAGACAATAAATTGAACGTTTAAACACCATGGGTATTAGAAAGACTCTTAAAAAGTATTTTTAGTCTCATTATTTCAAATATCGCTTTCTTTGGTAATTTCTGATAAAAAGTATTCTTTGGCTATTAGAGTTATTTATAGATTTCCAGTATGTGTGTGTGCGTGGTTGCACACATTGTCATTAAGGAAAGAATTCTCTAGACAGTTTCATAGGAGAAAAATGTGGATGGTTCCAAATCTGGTGTGTAAGTCAGTAGAGCCCAGGACACTTGTCCTGGGGATATCTGAGACTTAGAATCAGTTTAGCTGCGCAAAAACTACCTTGTGAGTTCACACCATTAGTGAATAGCATCAAGCTGAAACATTTCACAGCTTTCTACCCTGGGAAGTAATGGGGAGAGTTTAAAAAATGTGAAATTTTAGTTCGAATTAGTTTGGGACTGACCTTGCTTACTTGAAAAACCTGGTGCTATGCACATTTATATGCCTTTCCTTTGTAAATACAACTCCAGTCTCCTTCACTCTTCTTATCCGAGTTTCACATCCTAAAGGAGTCTTGTGTTCCCTGCATCGCTTGATAATTGTCAAACGAGAGAAACATTTGATAGGTGAGTCTTTTGGCATTGGCAGCAAATATCCCTCCAAATAGGGTTCTGGGGTTCTATTCTGTTTTTGTGTCCTGGGGTTTTGTTTCCCTTATAAGAACAGCTTTCGCTGTTGTTTAACTTGTCTTTGACACAAACTATATGTAAGAATTATAGTTTATTGATTTCGAGTACCTAACCAGAAAAAAAATGAGGTAAAGCCCATTCGTTATGATTCAAACTCACATGGGGAAAGGTGAGTATAGTTTTTATCTCCTCCCATACACACAGTTTTCGTTCTGTTTTTCATTGGGTTTTATTTCCTCTACTTTTAATTCCCAGGGAATATTATTTGTGCAAATTTAGTCTTTAAAAATAAAACCAAAAACATGAGTAGAAAGTAGTAAACCCTGCTCAAAAGAAAATTAAAATCTAGATCATCCTTTAAAATAACTCTATACAAACTTCTCTTCAATTTTCTCTCTGTTGAAGATACATTTTGAAGAATCATGGCCAACCAATCTTGTTGGAGAGAAATACACTTTTGCTACGTTATCTGTCTCTTGTTTTCTTACTCTTAGTTTTGTTTATATGTTTAATAGTTGAAAATAAACCCTGCTGTGTCCTGGTATGACTTGTTCCTACTTCCTCTCATGGTGTTAATGTCATACATTTGTATTTTGTATCTTATTTCAGTATTCCGCTTTTTCTTCCTACTGTCAGATGGGGAATTATGCAGCCTGTTCATATTCTGATTTTTGTCTTTTCTCCCCCTGATTTTTTTTGGGGGTGGGGGGACGGCGTGAGGTTGTGATAAATCCCTAAAACTACCAGCTTATTTTGTTTTAAGGTCTTCTAAGATGTTTATACATTTTTGTATATAGAGAAATGGCCCCTGAAAATGTTGGTTCAGCATTTTTAGTGATAAATACTTATTTTATTTTATGCTGGTCATTACCATGATGCTTATTGAAACTAGCAAGTGTTAGCCTGCTGTATAGAGAGGCTGTTACAGTGTATTTCTAAATACGTTTTAAGTATATGGTTAGAAAATACCCGTTTGTATGGTAATGTGAGGTAGCCCAGTTTTATTTTTATTTTTCCCACTAGAACTTGAAAGCTGCTATTAGGCACTTTATTTCAGAGCAGAAAGGGAAAGAACAGGCTGCCTCTTTAAGAGGGCCCTTGGCCCCTTTGTGTGGTAGAGTTGGTGTGCTCCGTCTTTCCTGTTTGGACACAAGACCAAGTTTTATTTCAGAACTGAACCACTAGCAGTTGCATACCAGTTTACCTTAATATTCTCAGGCTTATTATCTTCTTATCCCTTCACACTAGCCTCTTCCTCTGGCCTCAAAGCAAGTGCATTTGCTGGCTTAATTATTGTCGTTTACAAAATGAGCAGTGCACAAATTAGTATAGGAGTTTGTCTCTCACTCAGGTGTGTGTGCATGTGCTTATCCTCTGAGATGGTAGCAGACCCTCCTGATGAAGTCTCTGCGGCCTTCCCACGGTTGCTGTCGTTTGCATGGCTCCCTCCTTTTGTCTGTAAAGATTTTTTTCAAACATTGTGCTGTGATAGAGCCACTGGAGCAACTGACAGAATTTTCTGTAAATGAAATTCTCCAGGCTTTGCCTGCTCATCACAGTGAAGACCTAAAGCTTGCCTTTGGTTGCGAAGGCAACCATGTTGTCTTAGGCCAGGGTGGCCTGCTTGGCTCCAGTACCCCCCACTCCCCACCCACACCGGGCAAAGACAGCCGTGATCATGAGCCCTCTCTGCACTTCCATAGTGACCAGTCCCAAAACACATCACAGGTGGCACCTATGGAGGGACCCTCCCACAAAAAAAGGAATCAGATCCCCAGGGTATTCTTTGGCACGGAAGGCCAGCCAGTTCTTCAAATGTATCTACCAGGCTGTGCCCTACACACTAAATTCCAGTTCCTGACCTCTTTGGTATCAGTCTTTAAAGAAATGATCATTATGATATAGACAACGGTGTCCTAAAGGGCCAAGCCTATAATTTAATGAAAACTTTTCAGATCTATTGATGAAAGTAACCATTTAACCATGTATAGTAACCATTTAAACATAACAGCATTTTTCAAAAATTTGGAAGGAATCTTTTCTTAGTACTATATAGAAACTTAACCCATTAAATTAGGAACACCCTCACATTTTTAGAAATTTGACTCAAACCCATTACCAGGGTCATCAAGGAAATGGAACCTCCAGAGGGAGGGAGCAGTCATCTCTGCAGCCACTGTCTTCCAGCTGAGATGCCCAGCTGGGACACTTCAGACTTCCTGGGATGAATGAGTGATCTAGTATGTGTCCCTTGTAACTCAGTAGATCATTTTGCCTACCAAATGAGAGGGCCGTGTCACCATTATCTTGACATTTTAAGATGACTCTTTTTATCCTACAACAGCATAATTCTAATAAACTATAGGCTTATAAATATGACAAAAATTTTAATTTCCAAGCATAACAAATTGATCTTATAAAAGTTACATAAGTTTTCCATCTCCCTGAAATCTCCTTTCTCCTGCCCACCCCAGTGACTTCTTACCCATCCATCAAGACCCAGCTTTCATTTTACTTGACTCTTTCTGTCATAGTGTGAAGTGATCAGATCATCCCTTCTAAACAAAGAGAAATGCCAAAAATCCAGCAAGCTAATCAGAAAAAGAATGTTAGATCATTAGAGTTGACTCTAATCATGAAATGACTGTCCAACACATTTTCATGACAAAATGTTCCACTGTCCATCACTCCTTATCAGTCATTCTGGGGAAGGCATCAGATCCCACACTCCCAGGTGATGCCCCTGAAGCTAGCTGGAATTAGACACAGATGCCCAGAGTCTGGGCATTGGGGTCACCCTTCTGTAGGCATTGTTCTCTCCTGTTCCTAGGCCATGGCATATGGAGACTGGGCAAATGCAGCAGCAACGGCAATGAGGATAAGTAAGAAAATGGAATGTGAACATGATTCCATATTCTTCTTCTTGAGCATTCTGACCCAGTGACCTAAAGATACAGATGAACTCATCCATGTTGGTAAAATAAAATACCATGGGGACTCACAATTTATTGAAATTTAATAAAAGTCATTTCCAAAGAATGTGAATCCTGGGGTAGTGAGGCCATTAATTAATCAGCCCATCTTAAGAGATGGATTATGGACTAAAGTATTTTCAGTACAGCCCTTCAACACCAAAATGTTTGATTTTTTTTTCCACATCACATCTGTCCTCTTATATTCCAGTCTGAATCCTCTCACGTTTGTAATTAAAGCCATATTTGCCATCATTATCTATAGTCACCTGAGCTCCTTTTGCTCTGAAACCAGGAACACGGAACTGCTTCATTTCTAATGGTCCCCTAACTGAGTGCTAGTAAAAGCAGCAAGCAGTGGCATTTAACATACAAGCACTTCGAATTGCACAAGCACTGCTTCAATAACCACACAATTTTTAAAAACACAGAAGTCCTTTACACTAGCTATTAGAAGTAGTAATACTCTTTTTCTCACTGTGTTGTCGTTATGTTAAGCATTTTTGGAATTTCTCCTTTGTAATTGCCTTAAGAGCCACATGTAAGCCACACGGGAAATCAATCTGGCTTTATCATCCAATGTAGGTTGGCATACAGAAGTAGCATTGCCCCACAAGATCTCTTACTTTATATAGCAGACTTGGCCCTACTGATTTTGGACTCTTTTTAAAATCACTCCCCTGGGGCGCCTGGGTGGCTCAGTTGGTTGAGCGTCCAACTTCGGCTCAGGTCACGATCTCACAGTTTGTGGGTTCGAGCCCCGCTTCGGGCTCTGTGCTGACGGCTCGGAGCCTGGAGCCTGCTTCGGATTCTGTGTCTCCCTCTCTCTCTGCCCCTCCCCTGCTCGTGCTCTGTCTCTCTCTGTCTCAAAAATAAATAAAACATTTAAAAAAATAAAATAAAATAAAATCACTCCCCTTCTGACTCACTAGTAGCATTTGTCACTGTTAGGTGAGCATATGCTGGAGGAGCAGAGTCAGGACAACTTTGTATGACTGTCTAATCCCCCAAGGCGACCACTTGATGGAGACAACACTAATTTGGATTTTCTAGTAAGTACATATTTTTAAATAGCCCTCCCTAATATCCCACCCCCCTTCTGGTACAACGGCGAATTATACATTTTCATTTGGGGGGCTACTTATTTTAATTTCATGTTTCAGAAATGCAAAAGAAGAGCTAAGGGAGTCTTTTTAAGCTATCAAATATCAGTACACATTTTACTGGGCTACAGTGTGTAATGATCATTGATTCCTGTTATACTTTTTTTTTTCCGAGTCTTAGCTCCTTAAACCCACCAATAACTGGACGTGTAATGTTTACAAACCTGGTAGAACCTCGTGTTTTAAACAGAAAAAGAGAGGACGGCAAGTTGCAGTGTGTGCTTGGGACAGGGGCCAAAGGGTGGGGTGTAGACCACATCTGTGTCTTTGGATCAGCAGCCTTTCAGGAACGATCAGGGAACTGTGAGTATAGGGGCTTGTCCTGCTACTGTGCCTGTCCCTGCCCTCACCCCCAAATGATCCCTCATTCCGAAAACCCTCTGGCTCCAGAGGTCCTTCTACTGGCCTCCATGTGATAGCTGCCAACATCAGGCAGGGGTAAAAACGCCATCCCTCCAGAGGTGAGACAATCCACAACGAGCTGCAGGTGTTTCCAAGGCTAACATTCAGTCCCCGATCACATTCCCATCAGTGGCTCTTTGCCACTCTGGTCTCTCTCATGGACCATGTTCATTCTTTTGTTAATGTAACAAGAAGTATGGTAGCTTCTGGCATGGTTTTCTGATCCACGTCCATTGTGAGCAACAGTGACTCTGCCTCAGACAGATACAGGACAGGAAATGATTCGATCTTCTAACATCACACTGATTATCAGGAATACAAAGTAAAGGAGGAACATTGTGAAGCCCAGGATCTTGTTCATTCTCCATTTGCATGATGCAATTGAAGAGATCACAAACAGGAGCATGAGAAAAAGCAAAACAATTGCACAAAACAAGCCGTTGCTGCTGACTGGAACAGGCTGTAATCCATTGATAAGAGAGAACAGCAACCAAGGGGCAGGCAAGCTGCAAGATTGAAGAAACAATGTGAATATTCTGAATGTCTGCACTAATCCCATAAACATAAACAGTATTTTACAATTTACAAAGCACTTATTTTTCCACACACACAAGAAAGCTTATGAAATAGAGCAGAAAATAATAGCCCCATTTCACAGATGAGGAAACGAAGTTCATGGAAATTGAATTCCGTGCCCAAGGTCTCACAGCTAATAACAAGGAGTTCTATATTAAAACCGAAATTTTCAGGGTTTGAGTGGGTATTTTTTCTTTATAATTCATGACTTTCCTGTGAGTAACCCAGGTGAGCTGATGTGTGACTCTTCCATCTGTAAATGTTTGCGATCAGCCCTAGCTCAGGCTAACGTGTCTTTACATTTAAATTAGCCTGAGCTAGGACTTACCATAAAAATTTAGAAAAATCAAAGCCACCACCCAAATCCAGGATACGCCTGGGGAAGTGAAAATAGCCCAGAGGTTGGGCTCTGACAAAGTTGGGAGGAGGGGGCAAGAGAATGGGTACAGGGGATGCGGCATTTGCTTGTTTAGACAAAATGCTTTTAGAGCCTCTGAGCTGGCAGGATCCCAAACACAAAAGAGCAGAAGTATCAGCGAGTGAGATTGAGTCATTGCTCCTTCCAACCCCACTTCCACCACCTTGGAGGTCAGTGAGCAGAGCATCTGACTGAATTTGGGAATGAAATTTAAAGGACTTTGTTTTTCGATTCATCTATAAATTCTAGTCAGTTACATTTCAGACAGCATTTTTGTTCTGTTATCCCCTCAGGCTGTGATGAACGAAGGGAGGACACTTTGATGCCTAGTAGAAACTAATAACATAAATGCCCTTTTATTCCATGTATAAATAATGAAACAGAAAACCAGCAGACAGAGCCAACACCGTGTTTTCCAGTCATTCTTGATATGCCTTGGAAAGCAACTTTGCCACTCACCCCACGGTGATATCAAATATGTTACTGCCCACAGAGCTGGACACAGCCATGTCTCCCAGGCCTTTCCGAGCGACAATCACACTGGTGATGAGGTCAGGAATGGACGTGCCTGCTGCTAGGATCGTCAAACCCATGATCTCTTCTGTAATCCCTATTGTTTCACCAACCTGGTAAAAAGTAACAGCGATGATAAGCCATGGCAACAGCAAAAGGAAAAATCTGAAGCTCTTCAAAGCACCAACCACATGCTACTTTGTGCAAACCCAACACGTTTCCAGAGAGCTCAGCATACTCCCGCGGCCTCGGAGGGAGGGTATGGCGAACCGACAGATGGGGAGATGGGCCACGGAGAGAAGGAGCAGGGTCCCTGCTCAAGGCTGCAGGGAATGACGCAGCTCCTTTCTGGAGTACACGTCTCTGCCTGATATAGCTGTCATTGATATTCCAGCTATAACACCTGCACCTTCTCAGAACTGCCCCTCCGAACACCTGTTCGTGTCACGTTTCCATCTCCAGAACCACGGACACCTGCTATGTGCCAGTTAGAGGCTGGAGATAGAAGTATGGGCACCACAACACTGCCCCTACCCTCAGCCTACTGAAAGAAAAAAGCTCGTGAACAACAATTACAAGTAGAACAGGAAAGCAATGGGCACTCAGAGGAAGACTCACTGGATGCCAGAGACAAGGCAAAATTGAGCTTGCTCTCGCAAGTGTGTCCAACATCGCCAGGTGGGGAGGAGCAGGGCATCCATGACAGAGAAAGCCTGGAGTAAGGCTAATAAGCAATGGTCAGTTGGGTCAGACTGTGAAGGGCCTTCTATGTGAGGCTACAGCATGAACATTAAGACAGAAGAGCCGCACTTGAAAACACTACACTCACTGGAAGAAAAAAGGCAAATTTGACCCTTCGTAAACAATCTAGAAACTACAAAGTCACTTGAGCCTCACCGTTCCCTGGGTACTGGCCATTGACCCTGAAGGTAAAAATTGTCCTTGGGCCCCGCTGACGTTGAATGTAGTTCCTGCTGTTCACTCACCTGGTGAGCCCACCAGACCATGAGGTATGAGAAAATGGCTATCCACACGATGGATCCCAGGAAGGTGATAACAAAAAACTTCCTAGACTCCTATTTGCAAGTTTGAAAAGGAAGAGAAATAAGTTGCCGATGCTAAAGGTCATTGGCCCTTCTGAGGGAGCCCCAGAATCAGGGACGGGATCTGCTGAGTGAGTGATGGAGAGGATCTGGGGATGTGTCAGCTGAGATCTGGATCTCCAGTGAGGACCCCGGGATGGTGGCCTGCAGGGGAGTCCAGCCAGCAGGGCATTCAGCAGTCACCAAACTGAAGAGGACTGTTTGCTTGCCCTAGAGCCAGACTTGCCTAGGTGTTTGGTTTGGTATCTGCCACCTCCCCCCTACCCCACCCATCTCTGGACCTAGAGACAGCGTATGGATGGCCTTTGGGTAGGGTATGTTAGCACTTTCCCTATAAATGAGAATACTGGGTAGAAACAGTACTTTCCCCCTAGGTTTTCAGAATATCCCTGGAAATACAGGGGCGGAGTGGGGACGTCTTGGCATCATTCCCACATTAAAATCGAGAAACTGAGAATAGGAGTTGAGGGACCAGATCACATGCTTATAGTGATGGAAATAAGCATGTCTTAGGGCCTCCCAAGCCCACTGGTATGTCCCCATAGGTGCATGGTCCCATCTGGAGCTACAAGTTGCATCCCAGATACTCTCTGTGGTTGAGCCCTGCCAAGCTGATTTGCCCTGTCTTCTCACTTCTTGAGCGGGAGTGCTTAGAGACTCCACAGATTCCCTGGGGTACAGCTGGGCAAACTCACCAGCCTCCGGACATCAGGCACCGTCAACCACAGTGGGAACACAATGGGCAGGAGGAAGAGGTAAATGGCTTGCTTCTGCCTGGTGTCGGGCCACTCCAGGGACAAAGGCTCCTCATTTGCCTCCTCTTCTTCCTCATCGTCCTCCTCTTCCTCATCGTCGTCCTCTTCCTCATCGTCCTCCTCTTCCTCTTCGTCCTCCTCTTCATCTTTACTGTCACCTCCATCACCTCCCCCTTCACCATCTGTACCTTTCTCGTCACTTTTGGCTTCACCTTGACTCTCAGCATTGAATTCCTGCTCTTCATTTTCACCTTCATCAGCTTTCATTTCACCCTCTTCTGCTTGGAGTTCACCTTCACCTCCACCTTCATCAGCTTTCATGTCCTCATCTTCTGCTTGGAGTTCACTGCCATGTTCACCTTCTTCTCCTTCTGCTTCAATTTCACCTTCACCTTCCAGTTGAGACTCACCTCCACCTTGCTCTCCATTTTTGCCTTCACCAGGAGCTTCACCCTCTTCAGCTACTATTTCACCTGTGCTCTCAGCTCCAGCCACATCTCCTCCCTGCAGTCCAAAGCCAACAAATTAATGTGTAATAACTGCTGGGTTTGTTTTCCCTCCCACTTTCCCCCCACTTTGTTGTTGTTGCTGTTCTCAGAATGGATCTAAAAACTTTAGGAGGAGGAGAAATCATTCAGCAAAATTCCTCCACAACCACAACAGTGGTTGTCCTTTCTTTATTTGATTATTTTCAGGGATGGAAGACTCACCACCTAAGGCACCCTCTGTATCTTGGCAACTCTGATTAGAGTCTATATTTGTAACAAGGTTCTACTCTCTGTGCATAGGTTGACTCTTTGGAGCCACACAGAACAAAGCTAATCACTCTTTCATGAGGCAGCTCTTTTCCCTGAGTTAAAGATTCCCAGTCCCTTCCTTTATTCCATGCTATGGCCTGGAGCCTCCTCCCCATCTTGGTGAACTCATTCTAGTTAGATTATACCCCATGAGGAAGCTTTGAAAACTGAAACAGAACACCACACATAATAGGATCGGACCACAGAATGGAATAAGATTATCACTTCCCTCTCTTGGATACCTACTTCCATTAATGTTGCCTAATATTGCATATCTTTTGGTGGTTACATTGCTGAGCCTACTAAAACTCCTAAATTGTTATATTACCTTACGTATGTAAAACTATGATGGTAATACCTATTTACTGGGGGGTTTTATGTGCCAGGCACTATGTTAAGTGGCTTCAATAATAATAGCTAGCACTTACTGTGTCTCATGAGTCAATTAACTTATGATATAGATGGAATTAAACCCATCTGACAGATGGAGAAACTAGGGTACAGAATAGTTAAATAACTTGCCCGTGGTCCACACAGTGGTCCACATGGTGTAAGTGATAAAGTTGGGATTTGTCATATGGATAGTCCAGCTCTTGGCCTCTTAACCACCAAGCTACCCTTCTTCGCAAATGCCAGGGCTGAATGAGATCTTTGGTTCTCCGTTGGGGAGCTTAGTATAAATACTAATTTTCAAAATAAGTTAATAAAATAAAAGAAATCCAGATGTCCTGGCCCCTCCTGGACCAACTGAATTAGAATCTCTGTGATGAGACCTAAGCCAAGAATCTATTTTAACATGCTCACAAGTGCTCCTAATAGATGCATTTGCAGACCAGTGTTTGGGAACCAAACACTGTGACTCCATGCACTCTAAAAGGCTTTGATTCTGAGTGTCCTCAGATTAGGTGCCCAACTAACCTATAGCACCATGCCTGGCCTGTCCCTTGAGCAAGTGACCTGCGATGTGTGCTCATAGAGTATGTCATCTGTAACGAAGTTCACACAGCCAACCCCAAGGGATACTCAGTGATTCTGAACTCCACTGCATATTCAGATCATCTGAGGGTTTTAAAAACATTCATACCCACCCCAGATACTCTAACTTAATGGTCGAGAGTACATTTTTTTAATTTTTAATGTTTTTTATTTATTCTTGAGAGAAAGGGAGACAGAGCATGAGCCAGGGAGGGGCACAGCAAGAGAGGGACACAGAATCTGAAGCAGACTCTAGGCTCTGAGCTGTCAGCACAGAGCCCGACACAGGGCTCGAACCCATGAGCCGTGAGGTCATGACCTGAGCCGAAGTCGGATGCTCAACCGACTGAGCCACCTAGGTGCCCCTGAAATACTTCCTGCCCTCCCTCCCCCAGCCCCATCAGGAGAGAAGGCTTACTGGGGGAGATGACAAGTCATTTAAATCCATAGGTGTGGGAGTGTCTGCCCAGCCTGCACCCTTTTCTCTGAGAACTGTCACCCCTAACACCCTCTGAATGGGTGGCTCCATTCTTCTGTGTTGGAGTCAGAGCACCCCAGCACTCCCTGTCACAGCTTAGACACAGGCTGGATCCCTGACCTGTGACCTGGTTTAAACAGATTCTCTCTTCTGAGACTGGGAGCCGGTCATCGGTTGACCTCCATAATGGACTGGGGCCTAGAGTGGTGCTATGTGTGCTAATAAGAAAGCAAATGCGGGGCACCTGGGTGGCTCAGTCGGTTAAGCACCCGACTTCGGCTCAGTTCGTGATTTCATGGTTCGTGAGTTCAAACCCCACATCAGGCTCCGAGCCTGGTTGGGATTCTCTCTCTCTCCCTCTCTCTCTGCCCCTCCCCACTCGCACTCTCTCTCTCTTCCCAAAATAAATAAAAATTGAGAGGAAAAAAAGTCTGCACACAGGGAAGGGAACATGAGGGAGCAAAGACAGACAGTGAGAAGCCACCAGGGTCACAGCTGCCTGCTTAGAGCTGGGGGCAGTTCTTTGTGAAATGGAGCTTCGCTTCTGGCCCTGGGATTCCAGGAGATCTCTCTGTCTCCTCTTAATCCCTTGTACTTGAGCTGGCTGCAGTGGGTCTACTCAGGACACTCATGATACCACCAAGAGGTCTTCGACACTAAACCCAAAGTTGCTGGCTTAAGGATGAGGTATAATTGACTATTTCTGGGTGGCAAACTAAAAAAACAAACAGGGATGGAACCTGCAAACTAAATGCAAGTCTATCACTGACCATCATCGACTCCCTTTCTGACTGGGCTGCTGGCCCCACACCCTCGCTGTCATCTCTGAGCCCTTACTGAGCACAGCCGCGTGTGCCAGGCACCGCACTTCTCTCTGTGGGACAGACAGTTCAGGAGTGCATCCTGCCCTCAGGAACTTCACTCAGCAGCGAGCTGAAGGAAGAGAGACTCCTAAATGGAGTGCGGGGAAGGCAGTGATAAGAGCCCTGGGACAGGGACAAAGCACATGGGCATTTATTCATCAGATGGGGGTGGGGGGCCAGGGAAGCTTGAGGGCAATGGAGGCATTTACAGTGGCCTGGAAAGGTGGGTGAGGCGATACATGCAGGTGGGGGGATACATGAAGGGGAGGAAACCAAGGTCCGGAGGCAGAAGAGCACGGAGACAGGAGTCCAGTGTAGCTGGAGCGTGGTGGAAGAAGAGGCTGTGTGGCTGTAAAGGCAGCGGCAAGCCCTGTAGACAAACCTCAGGGGGTTCCAAGGCATGGAGCTACGCTTTGAGCTGCCTGGTCTTACTGCCCCCTAGTTTCTGAAAGACCCCCTAACAGTTATTCCTTATGTTCTCCTAGCACGTGACCCGTGGTGGCACATTCTCGTGTGCATATACCGTACTCACACTAAGGTGTTAACGGTGAACTAACTGGCCCCATGAGGTATTATTTGATCTTCAGAGAAAGGGCCATACTTACTTCAGAGGAATGAACCTCAAGCAGCATTTCAGACCTTCAAGAAGGAAGACTCTTTGGTCAGCAACTCCTTCCCTGGGCCTGTTCAATCCCCTCCACCTGGGAAGAGGCTCGTGCCTACCTGACTGCCAGGATCTTCCTCCTGATCTCCCTCAACATCTGGAGCAGGGGCTGGTGTGACCGTGACCGCAGGAAGCTTGGCTGACTCCTCCTCTTTAAAGGACAAACATGGAAAAGATCAGAAGAGTGTGCCAGTTTTTGAGGGCAGCTGGCAGAGCCAGTGTGAGGGGCTACAGGACGCATCCACCCCAGGGTCTCAGTAAGTTTGGGGAATTTCTTGTTGTTAGGAAAAGTAACATGATGGGATAGGAATTATTGTTGCCCTGTCCACAGAGATACCTGCAGATAGAACAGCCGGGAGCTGGCCATCCTTGCTCCCCCTGTATTCACACATATTTCCATCCTGACCAGTGGGGCCAGGGATCCAACCTATAAAAAGCTTGGGCAACTGGGACCAAAGAGAGGGCAAAGCCCCAGCCCTCAGGGTCTGACCCTGCCCCCTACCGCCTACATGGAGAGGATCCTGATGACTTCAAAGGCAGCACAGCAGTTTGGAAGCCTTGAAATAGGTGGCAGGGAAGGGAGACTCAGAAAGCCTGGAGAGCCGGGTTTAGGAGCAGACCCTCTCACTTCTTCAGACGAGTCAGTTGACCTCTCAGCCTGGGTTTCCTTGTCTATTGTATGGAAAAAATGGCTGCCGCTCTCCCTCCTTCCACAGGTCGCTGGGTGCATGGGGCAGGCCCGGTGTGCTGTGCAGAACCCACAGGGGCAGGAGCTTCCTCATTCCCTCCATCCCAGGTGCCACATGGATGCTGGACTTCTGCATCACCAGACCCCTGGTGTCCTTCCCTCCTGGGGTTGCTGGTCTCAGACCAATCCCTAAGAGCACTGTCCTTTTGTAGAGGTGACAGGAAGAAGAAACAGAGGTCCCATGGAGTCTCATTTGGGATGAGATTTAGTGAAAAAGAAACGGGCCTTCAATAACCCCTTGGCCTGGCCTGGCCCATCAGAGGAGAGTGCGGAGGGGCTGTCCAGAGCCTCCCTAGGGCCAGCAGCCCAGTCAGAAAGGGAGCATACTGGAAGGAGGAGGCTAGAGTGCAATGGCACTCAGGGCAGCACCAGACTATATCACTCCAGCTGACTGGCCCAGACAGGCCGAGAGGCACGTCTCAGCCCCTGGCCAACAGGAAGGAGGAAGGTAGCATGAGGAAACCCACCAGTTTCACCATCCTCTCACCTGGTTTGTTCTCTGCATTAGCATGAGGCTTGGCTTTGGTCTCCTGATTCGAGCTCTCCTCCTCCTTATCCTTGGAGGGATGGGCTGCAAATGAGAAAGGGGAACACATCTTATCTGAGGCCCTTCAGTTACACTGGTCAGCTGAGCAACCAGAGCAGCTGAAGTGGGTGGGAAGAGGCTGGCCTGGAAGTCATGGTCTGGGTTCCGGTCCTACTCCGCATGTTCCTGCTGCCCGCTCCCAAGCTTTCGCCTTAAATTCCCTGTATGTTACTAACTGGCTGTGACCTTAGGCAAGTCACGTCCCCTCTCTGATCCTATTTCCTCTCTGGCAAGATGACATGGTTGGACTCAGAGGCAACAAATAGGATTTATTTTCTTTACGAGCTCGAATGATGGCTGTTTTGAGTGCTGGATTGAGGAAGATTCTGATCCAAGGATAGTGGAGGTTTTACCATGATTTATTGGTAATGTCTGCAACGAGCAGGGAACGGACGAAAAATGGCAGGGAGACATGTTTGCCATCCTTGGACTGGATTATCTGTAAGGTCCTTTGTAGCTTGCTTTCTTCAATGAATTTACCAGAAGCTCTGCTATAGCTCCAGGAGCACTACTGGTGAGACTTTCTTCTCTGGTCAGAAAGGGGAAATAGCCTACCACCAACCTCCCTGCCACACCATTTTGCCCCTAGGTACCCAGAGCCTCCTTTCGGATCTCTATGAACACATTTTGCCAGAGGCCCAAAGAGAACTATGGACAGAATAGTGCTGCTCTGATTTCCAGGCAAGAAAACTAGGGAGGGCAATCTTTTTCAATGTGATGATGCTCCAGGCAACATGCAAAGTTTACATGTGTAATTCAAGGTGGGAGGCACAGAGACAGGTGCAGGGGCTCCTGCGGGTCCTCACAGCTGTGTAACCTGGGAGGGTAAGGACAACGGCACAAGCGAGAAAAAAAGTGGCATCATGGAATCTATTCTGGAGTCCAGGCTGGCTCTCCCCTGTGAGCGCTGGGTGACCCTGGGAAGCCTGTGTGCCCTCTCTAAGCCTCAGCGTCCCCCTCTAAAAAGGCAACATCATGATATACTGAGAGCACTGATGTGGGGGTCCATGAGACAAAAATAAATAAAAAGGCTTTAATGCTACAATTAAATATTGCTATGTTAGCTGGGATTCTGATACCAGATAGTCTGGGTTCGGATCCTAATTCTGCCACTTGATAGTCAGGGACCTAGCTCAGTGATTGCTTAACCTCTCTGTCCCTCAGCTTCTTCATCTGTAAAATCTTACAGAGTTGTTAATGGAATAAATAAGTTTATACATGAATGTGCTTTAAACAGTGCCTGGCACCTAGAAAGCACTATATAAGCATTAGCTACAACAAGGACGAAGTGAGTAATGGAGAGCAGCTGTCCCACCCAGGAAGCATCTCTGCAGTGGCCCAGCATTCCAGAGAGTTTGAGTTAATAGGGAACCTGAAGATCCTCTAGTTTATGACAGACAGACTGAGAAGGTACAATGTGGGAAGCTGCTGGGACCAAACTCTGCCTGGGTCCAGGATGGGCAGGAAGCATAAACGGGTCTGGAATTTCCTCCTTTCAGCCTGTCAACTAAGCTCTCAGAGATGGTTCAGCTGCAGCTGCGTCTGGCAACAGGCTCCATCCTGCAGGGCCCCCACTCTGGCATGACTTCCAAGTGTCCTGGTGGGCCAACCCAGCAGGTGCTCTTCAGAGCTGAGATGTCAGGAAGCAGGCCCTCCGCTGCCTGCTTCACCCACACACCTTTAATGCCCCCCCTGGCATGGATGACGCATTGCAATCTTCTGTTGAGCAACAAACACAGAGTTGTTACCAAAGGAGAGAGTCCCACTCGTTCTGGTCCTGGTGCTGAGAATATCTGCCGACTGTTGGCTGGAAGGGCTGGCAAGAAAAACCAAGTCCCCCTGTTTCCTTCTCACTCCTCATCACACACCCTAACCTCTCATTTCCCTTGCCACTGAGGAAAGCAGGTCAGCTGCAGAACCTCTTTCTGTCCCTCTCCCCCTCTCTCTCTTACATATGCACACATCCATAGATGTGAAGTCACCATAGAAGGCATAGGATCCTGGAGAAGAAAGGCCCCTTCACAGGGTGGGTGAGAGTTCAGACCACACATCAGCTCTGTGGAAAGAGTTGGAACACCTGGAAAGGGTGGAAACATCTGGACAGCCATTTGGAAACAGCATATGGAAACACAAACATGGATCTGGAAAGTCTTGGGAACAAAGGCCTTCACCACAGTTCTGCAAGGTCCCAGGCCCTCCTGGATGGGGTCTGGGAGTATAGAATCCAGGTTGGCTTCTCAGAGCAGGACTTCGTCCCAGAGCGTATCAGCAGTTACCCACCACGAGGGCCTTTCCACGCCTCCCCGCCTGCCACATGTGCCCACCATATACCAAGCTTGCTTGTCTTCCTAGGGATGACTGTCGCTGGCTCCCCCAGCACTTGTTTCCTCACGTGGCCTCTCTACTCTCAGTGTGGCCGGATCATCTCCTACTTAGTATCAATCTTCTCTGACCTCTGCCTGGCCTGGCCATCACATAATCCTGTTAGGACAAGTAGGTCAGCTGTTGGCAGGCTGCCAGTCATGGAAGTGGCCCAGGCAAGGGGCCCTGCAGTCCCATTCAGGAGATCTTTATCTTCAGGACTTTGCTAGAGTTGGTGATTCTACAAGGAGTGGCCGAGAGTAACCCAGAGATACAGCTTCCTTCACCGCCCCAGGCCAGGTACGCCCCCAGCACGATCACCCACAGGCTACTGCGTAATGCAAACTCCACTCTCAAAACTCCAGGGGCACTGTTTTTCTGGAGTTGACACTTGGGAGTAGCCTCTCTCAATGTCTGCAGAGGCTCACCCTGAGGATTTCCTGAGGAAGGTTTCATCACCTCGGCTTTGTCTCTGCTTTTCCCAGTACAATAGCCTTCTAAATACCCTAAACCCAATACTGTATCTGAAGAGGATATTTCAAGGCCTGAGGAAATTCTGAGCCCCTTCCCAACCTCTCCCCCGGCCACTGCTCCACCACCCCCGGGCCCCCCCCCGCAAGATTTGTCCCTGAACCAGAAAAGTCAGTGAGGGTGTTTCCCGATGCTCATGGGCCAGTCTCCAGTGTCATATTCAGCTCAGCCCTCAGCCCTCCTTCCAACTACATTCTGACCCCTTGGCTTCTGCCCACAGGCCAACCTGGGCTCCTAGTTTTGCACCAGAGATCCAGAGATGAAGGGACCCAAGGAGAACAGGAATGTACCTGAGGGTGCCCTTTAGGGGCCTGAGAAGCATTTTAGGAACAGTTCTCTGGGGAAGTGGGCCAAAAGGCAAGACTTGGTAAGGTGCATGGAGAGAATCTTAGCTACCCCCATCATTTGTCAATCAGGACCCACTTTACTTTGGACCCCTGTCATCCTCCAGAAGTGGTCCTGGCAGCTCCTTTGGGGTTCCTGGCTAGGGAGAGGGTTAGCAGTTTCCCTAGGACTCCAGAGCTAGACAAAGACCAAGGGGAGGTGCTACTCAGAGCTTCTGGGCTGTGGGGCCCTACAGGAGGTACCCCCAGAAGTGGCCCCGGCAGTCAGCCTGGGCCAAGCTGCCTGGCTGGAGGTTCTGTGGGACACTGGAGACGACTCGTGGGTGGTGGGCTATGCAGGGAAGTCACTGAGGACAGCCCTGACATCGATCAGAGCAGGGCACATGGCACTCATGGCCTCACTAACTACAAGTGGACCCTTTTACAGGAGGGGACACACAGACATGGAAGCCATGGGATACAGATGCCTAACCTTAGCTCCTTGGGGCCCTCTCCTGTTGAGTCCCATGTCCTCTCTCTACCCTGTCTCCCAGACAGTTGGCTTCATCCCCCCACTCCGTCCTCATCCTACCCACTGCCTCCTAGTTTTGCATGTCCCAGGTCTTGTCCACCTGCGGGAGGGAGGGAGGGAGTGGACAGGAGACCACGCAGGTCCAGGGAGGCCTTGCTTACCTTCTCCCAGAGGGTCCAGGCTGTGAAGCATGAGCCGGTAGATGGTGCTGCGGATGGTGCTGTTGTGCAGAGAGGTCGAGCTGCTCCCTCGGGTCAGCATTGCTGGGAGCTGAGCAGGGGAGAGCCGCACAGGCCTCAGTGAGCCCCTGCCCAAGCCAGGGGAGGAGCCACACAAGGGCCTCCCTAACCCTGCCTCCCTCCCATAGAGCTCAGAACAAAGCACAGGAGCCTTCTCCTGGCCTCCCTTCTCCCTTCCCCTCAGTGAGAAGAGTTACATTCTGCTTTCTTTCTCAGGCTCCTCTCACTCTTCCATGACTGGCTAATTTTACATACCAAATAATTCCCCAAGGTCTCAACAGGGAGCAGACAATGTGTACTAAGCATAACACATTACCAAGGGTTTGTCCTTCCCTGAAAATGCACTGTCATAGAAACACACACCCACACACAGCGCAGACGGACCCCTGGGCACGGGCGCAGCCCTTTCCAGTCCACAAAGCATCATCGCGCTTTATCGTTGCCCCACCCCCAGATAAGCAAGGCTGTGACCCCCTTCTACAGAAAAGGACATGGAAACTCCACGAGGCTACGTGATTTATCCAAGGTCGTGTGGGGAGTAAATGAAAGTATCAAAATGGGCACTCAGGTCTTTTGATTCCCAGTTCAGTCCTTTTTTCTACGCACAGGTGCTCAAGAGACCTTCGGAGGTGCACACATACACACATCTGTACATGCAGATACCCAGATGTGACACACATAGAAATATCATCTGATGTCCAAGGGAACATCCAAAGACAGACTGACACTTGCTCTGTCCCTCCCCCACGCTCCCCACGCCACCCCCATCCCTCTGGATCTGAACTCTTCTGCCATCTAGTGGCTGTGGTAACACAGTACTTCATAACAGCTCTGGGGATTTTCTTCAGATGAAGAAGGTTTCAGTCAGGCCCCAGACTCTCCCTTCTAAGGTTCCCATAATTCTCCCCAAATATCCCATAGGCCAAAGCAGCCAAGATACAGTTTTTCAGAAGCCTCAGACCCCCACATGCCCCCAGTGCCTCTCCTATGTTTCTCTTATTTCCAGGGCATCCCAAAGCCACAGGTAATTGGGCTTTGAGATCAATTCTAAATGTTGGGGCTTGAGTTCATCTAGTCCAAACAGTCATTTCACAGATGCAAAAGCTCACACAGCAAACTAGTGGTGGAGCGAGCAGTGATGTTCTGGCCTCAGCTCCCAAACAAGCACCTCAAGCACCTCGTCCAAGGCCACCTTAGAGGTGACAGTCCTGTTGGCAGAGGAGCTGGCGCCTTCCCTGGCTCATCCTGACAGCACTCCCTGGGGCTTCCCAAGCCTGAACCCGGCCCAGCACCCCCAGCATCAGGGCCACAGGGCCTCTGAGACCCTGCAGCGCCCCCTCTGGGCAGACTCCACATGGCACCCACCTTTAGCTTCTTGTTTTCCTGCAGCTCATCCACCGCAACTGCCCCATTGCCTGGCTGCAAACAGGGACAGGAGTCACGAGATGTCTGGAGAGACCCTTGCTCTCTCTCCCTAATTCTCTCTCTCTCCAAGGAACCCTCAGTTTGAGAAACACACCCAGAGAGAAGCTGGTCTCGGGACATGTTTTCACATGTGCAAACCCCAGCCTGGCCTTTCACAGTCTGGCTTCAGCCCCCCGCCCCCCACAGTCTTCTTAAATGTATCCACTCACGACAGCCCACTACCACCAACCGTCTCTCAGTCCCTCAAATGCACCGTCTTTACCTGCTGTGAAACCCTCATCACAGGGTCCCTCCTCCCATGTTTGGAACCCTCTCTCCCTCACTCCCCATAGTTCAGGCCTCCATTTACATGTCACCTTCCTCTGTGAGGTTAAAGTGCTGTCTAATTATTTTTTATATGCTCCTGTTCTTTTCCTTCATAGCACTTTCCTCAATCTAGTCTTGTTTTTCATAAACAAATAAATCAACTGCCCCACTAGCATCTTGAAGGTAGATTGCCTCTTTCATTCACCACCATGTGTTCGGCGTGAAAACACTCTTGAGCACTTAGCAAAGGTTCAATAAATATTTGTTGAATTAATGCATGAATGAACCATCCTGTAACTACACCCAATCTATTCGAGCTCCTGTTCCCTTGTTTACACCTTTTCCCTCTGCATAAAATGCCTCATCCGTTCCCCCCATGCCTCCAGTTTTTCAGAAAATTCACGGTGAATACTTCTATAAAGCTTTCCTGAATGGCCCCTTCCCCCGCCCCCACTCACTCCAGCTCACTACAATACCTCTCTCTTCAAAAGCTGTATAACAAGAGTAAGCACATTTTGTGTTACCAAAACCTGGCTCTGTGATCAAGTAAGTGCTAGTGTCCTGGGGAAGCTGTAGGGCAGCCATCTGGGAAATGAGACAGCCCTAGAAAAATCCAAGATGAAGAATCATTAAACCCACAGTAACTATTGTCTGGACCACTAGCTTTCCACCTGGCATTTATTGCTTTATAATGCTGTTTGAACTTTTAAAAGAATCATTTAAAAAATTTTTTTAATGTTTATTTATTTATTTATTTTTTCAATGTTTATTTATTTTTGGGACAGAGAGAGACAGAGCATGAACGGGGGAGGGGCAGAGAGAGAGGGAGATACAGAATCCGAAGCAGGCTCCAGGCTCTGAGTTGTCAGCACAGAGCCCGACGCATGGCTCAAACCCACAAACCATGAGATCGTGACCTGAGCCTAAACTGGACGCTGAACCGACTGAGCCACCCAGGTGGCCCTAATAGAATCATTTTTTTAACCTTGCCATATGTGAGTTATCTACCCAGCTTGACTCCATATTTTTTTGAACTTACGATACAGTCATCTGTTCCCCAAGCCTGTGGCATAGGTTCTTGTACACAGGAGGTGCTCACTAAAGGTGAGCTGAATGAGGAGCTACTCCTAAGTGGCTTCCAGTACTATCTTCAGGTGGCAGGGTCACTGATAGCTGCCCCCAGTAATTGTCTTCCCCTCCTCACTGCCGGCCTCCATGGCCAGAACTAGAACTGGACTTGCTCTGTATCTCCTGTCTGTGTTTCAGCTCAGAAAATAAAGAAAACACTGACTGGGCCAGAAAGGAATCGGGACCAATTCTATCTCCAGATAGAAAGCAGAACGTGATTCAAGAAATGAGAAGGTCAGATAAAGGTGCGGTGGTTGGAGGGACGAGGAGGCTTCCAAAAGTAAGTAGAACTTGGGGTGCCTGGGTGGCTCAGTCGGTTGAGCGTCCGACTTCAGCTCAGGTCATGATCTCACAGTTTGTGGGTTCAAGTCCTGCTTTGGGCTCTGTGCTGACAGCTCAGAGCCTGGAGCCTGCTTCGGATTCTGTGTCTCCCTCTCTCTCTGCCCCTCCCCCACTCACGCTCTGTCTCTTTCTCTCTCTCTCAAAAAATAAATAAACATTAAAAAATTGTTTTTAATGTAGATAGAATCTGAGTAAGCTTTGAAGGATGGGGGAGGTCTGAATGCTGGATATACACTTGAATAAATAAACAGATGGATGAACAAATGAATATGCAAATGAATGAAATGGAGCAGAAATAACCAATCTGCATCTGAAGGGAGCACTCTAGATTTCTTGAACAAAGGCCCTGACTCTTTCGTGACACACCTGTAAGTTCACTGGGATACTGGAAGCTATAGCACCGACCCCCAGTGGCCCAGCCATCTCACTGTTTATCATGTCCCACCCACACCCAGTGAGTTTTTGGAGGTAACAAACTGTGAGGAGCCAGGCTGCCCTTTGGGGTAGCCAGTTCTGTCCTCAGAGGAGCAGGAGAGATTGACTTTTGCCCCATGATGTACAGGCCTCCTGATTTTTCTGCTATTCAGGTTTACTCAAGCCAAAGTACTTCTCTAGGAGCGCATCATTCTTTGCACACACCAATATCTTCTCCCTTCAGCATGTACTTCTAACCTTCTGACACCTTTCACATCCACTTTCTCATCCAATACCGCCAACCCCGTGAAGTAGACAAGGTTAGCGCTATTACTGCTTTTTGATAGATGGGAAAACTGAGATGCAGAAAGAGCCCCGGGCTTGCCCACACTCACAGAGACAGTGTCAGAACTCCGATCTCCATTGGAGGGAGATATTTGTTGCTGTTGTTGTTTACGAACTCCTATTTCTTTTCCCAAGGTATTGAGGTAAAAATCTCTATTCCCTAGTGGCTCTGCAAATTATTGACATTTTAGATAAATGGACATAAGTGTTTGCCTACTTTTAGGTGTGGACGATGGGTCCACTTACAGGAAGCAGTCCGGCAAGTGGGTGCATTCAGAATATGCCCTTAGTACAGACACATTTCATATCCACCTCTCACACCAACCCAGTGCCCCTCCTCTTTCTTCAGCCTCATCACCCCACCCTCCCCTTCTCCTCACGAAAACTAGCAAAGGGGCTGAGGAAACCAAAGAGGATGTCTCCATGCCAGCCAAAGCCCCCAGCACCTGCATGGTATCTTGCTGAGGTTGAGCAATAGGACCCCTTGCTGCCATTCATGGGAACCTGGGATGGCAAATATGGCAGGCCCTCAGGGGGCTTCCCCTCCTGACTTCCAGTTTCTGTTTCCCACTGATGTAGCAGTTAATCATTGACCTCTCCCCTTCTAGACCATCCATGACACATTTTCTGAACCATGTATTTTAGTCTTTGTTGTTATTGTTGTTTTAAGATTCATTTAACAAATATTTACTGACCCCCTGGTCTGAGTCCTGCCTTCACCGAGGTTAGACTCTAATAGGGGACTCTTCACTCTAGCCCTTTGCTGAGTACAGTCTTGCTTCCGGATCCACTCATTTGTCTAGGCTGGAAACCCAAAAGTCTACCCAAATTGCTCCCTCTCCTTCACAGCCCAGGTCCAATCAGCTGTCAGATCTAGTTACTCAAAGTCCTCACTGGTGGCCTCGTGTCTCCACTCTTCCTGCCTACAGTCCTGCAAGCCTCTGACTCCTGATCTGTTCCTCTTGCAGCTCATTCTCCACCCCTCAGCCAGAGTGATTTTCTGAACAAAGCACAAATCATGTCCCTCCCCTGCATCCTGGGGGTTTACTGTCCTCATGAGGGAGTCCAGACTCCTTGGCTGAGCACACACTAGCCTCCTGCTTACCTCCAGTCCAGCACTGTCCAACAGAAATAGAATGCAAATCATATACGCAAACGTAATTCCTGTAGCAGCCACATGTTTTTAAAGTAAAAGAAATGAGTGGAATTGATTTTAATAATATACTCTAGCCCAATATACTAAAAACATTATAATTCAACATGTAATTAATATCATTGAGCTATTTTACTCCCCCCCTCTTTTTTTCATCATACCAAACCTTTGAAACCCAGTGTATATTCTATACTTAACAGCATAACTCAGTCGGGCCAGCCCCATTTCAAGAGCTCTGTAGCTACGTGTAGCAACTGGTCCGTATTGGACAGTGCGGCTATATCTCCTCACGGTGTCTCATTCCCTCGGCCTCTCCACAAGCCCAGGAGAGTCCTGGCCCCAGCTTCAGTCAGCCACCCCCTGCTGGTCCTTCAAGATTCTGTTAGACATCACCTCCCGGAGGAAGCCTTCCCTAACTCTCTGGTCTGTTGACGTGTCTAACCCCTCAGCAGTACCCGCTGCAGTACTAAGCCCCTCAGTGCTTTCCTATACCATTACAGGTGATATTAACTTTATTTATTTACTTTGGGGTGGGTGGGGGAGAGAGAATCCCAAGCAGACTCCACACTGCCAGTACAGAGCCCGATGCAGGGCTTAACTCACAAACCATGAGATTACGACCTGAGCCCAAACCAAGAGTCAGATGCTCAACTGACTGAGTCGCCCAGGTGCCCCTGAAATTATCTTGTTTTTACTTGTTTATCATCCATATGCCCTCTCCCCCACACTATTAATGTTGGTTTTCTATTTCCAAGTTATTCAGATGGTAGAGCATCTAGAAATCATGCTGTTACTTGTAGAACACCATGTATATCTAATCGCATATTTAATCCCATCATTTTCAGTATGAGAAAATATTACTGTGTTGCATGAATGCATGTAAAATCTCAATTATAAGCACACATGCATTCATGGAAACAAGCTATTAGACCAGGCATGATCAGGTTCTTGAGTTCTGTTCATATTTGTTTCTTACACTTTCATTTTGTCATCTGCCAGCACTGACTAGCAGGTGAACACTAAAAAAATTTTATGACGAAAAGAAGGCTTAAAATTGAGAATTGTACTCATACCAACTTTTTGTGACAACTGGGGGGAAGCTAAGTATTCAAGGAGTTGAACGAGGGAACCCTGGGGCTCCTGGCTGGCTCAGTCACTAGGGCGTGCAACCCTGATCTCAACATTGTGAGTTCAAGCCCCACAACGGGTGTGGAGCCTGTTTAAAAAAAATAAATAAAAATAGGGGTGCCTGGGTGGCTCAGTCAGTTAAGCATCCAACTTCAGCTTAGGTCATGATCTCATGGTT